GTACACTAAAAAAAAAACCTTACCGTTGCATTCACTGTACCATACTGAACAAAAAAAAATATATTACAATTTTTATGTTTTACATCATTGAACTAAATTTACGGTAAAAAACTGGCAGCTGTGGTTGACAGTCCTTTACTGTAAAAAAATATGATATAAATATGTATGTTTTATGGCATTGAACTAAAGTTTAAGTAAAAAAAACTGGCAGCTGAATGCAATCAATTTACTGTAAAAAAAATAGGGTAGTTATATTTTAGGATTTATGGCAGTGATCTAAAGATTACAGTAAAAAACTGACAGCTGTGGTTGCCAGTACTTTACCATAAAAAATATGGTAGAACAATTTTAGTTTTTTACAGCACTGAACTAAATTTTACTGCAAAAAAACTGGCAGCTGGTTGCAAGTGCTTTACTGTATAAAAAATATGGTAGTAATATTTTAGGTTTTTATAGCATTGAACTTCAGTTTATGGTAAAAAAGAAAGAAAAAAACTGCCAGCTATGGTTTCCTGTAATATAAAAATATTCTATTACAATCCAATTTGTCATAAAAGTTATTAATGAGAATTACCAGAGGTTTAGAAATGTATGTTTAAATGAAAATAATACAATTTGTAGTCATTATGGAGTCGAGTGTTTGCTTTAGTTGGGCTCTTGACCCTTGACTTTCTAACCTTAGATTTTCTTTGACTGCTTTAACTGTGTTTATAAAACACATCTGCTATGGCATGAAAATCAGAGAGAAAATGTGTTGGTTATAGATCATGACAGAATCGTCATGTAGAAGCCTGATTCACTGATCTCATAAAGAGTCTTACCTTTCATTGTATGAGGAATGTTTAATACTAATATATTTCATGCTTTTGAATATAATAGCTCTGTGCAGCTTGCGAGCCAGCAGTAACAAACAGATAATCTGAAGAAACCCATGGTGTTTAAAAAAGGTTTTGAACTACGGTAAAAATGACCATCACACACATCAACAATCATTTGTATGAATCTCAACAATGGTGACAATCAACAAAATAATCACATTAAACTCTGAACATCACAAAACAAGCTATTAAAAAAATTGCAACAAAAACAACAGCAACAATAAAAACAGATAATAATAATAATAAAAGAAAATAATTTATTCAAGCTGCAATGCATGCTGGGAGATATTGATGAGCTCACCGTTGTTGAGATTAATTTGCTGATTCCTGACGTCAGTGTGTCTTAAATATACAGTAGTTCAAACCTTTCTTGTGCACAATGTTTCTGAATGTCTTCAGATTATCACAACACTGATGGATCACATGCTGTAGAATCATAGGTTTACAACAATCAATAATGTAAAATTATTATCAAAGATAAGACTCTAAATGAGCTCAGTGAATCAGGCCACTTCATGATGATTATGTCAACATCAATATATAACCAACATCACCTAATTCACTTACTCTCTGATAGTCTTGCCAAAACAACTGTGAGTTACAGCAGCCAGAGAAACTAATGTTAAAAAGTAAATGGTCAAGAGACCAACTAAAGAAAACAGAGATCACCATTATGGTAATTTCAAATTAATTAAACAATAAATAATCAACATCTACACCTGTTTATTCTCAAACAGAACTGTAGTTGTATGACAGATCTGGTTAGTAATAAGTGAGGCTGGTAATACTGTTTGTGGAGTTGATTAATCCTCCTCTGCTGAAATCTTCAGATATTTAACGTCTTCTTTTATCTTCAGTTGATTTAAGGCTGTGGCTGAAGTCAGTTGTAGTTGTTGTGTTTCTGCTCTCTGATCTCTGATCTCTTCTCTTTTTTTCTGTCCTTGTTGTTTCTCTAAATTGAAATTCAAAGAATTCCCTGCGTGACACTTCACATTTGATGTTATTTCATTAAAACTTAGTTTCTAAGTTTTTGTTATCAGTTATGCACATTTGGGGTTTATATTACATCATATATTGTTGTTTAATGAATGTGAATGGAACTATTTTGGAGTCATGTGCGTGTCCCCATGATGAGGTTTTGTATTTGAGTGTATGACACTGTGCACCATCTTTACATTAATATGTGCCTCAGCTTGTGGAAAACTAATGGTAATAAACTTTGGGTAACGCTTCCTTTTACAGTACAGTACTTACAGTGTACTTACCTTGAAAGTACTGGCTAATGTAAGGTAAGTACATGGAACAGGGGTAGGTTCAGGGTTAGTACTAGTTATGGGCTATATGCACGCATAAGTTCCGCATTTGACGCAAGGATGGTTGTCCATTTCCGGTTGTGGAGATTTAAGCGGAGGAAAACGGGATTATGGCAGAGACTTCAAAATTTACTGTCCTCCCGTCTTTGAAACGAAATGTACATACGTTTAGATGTAATTTTATATAGTTATGTTTATTTAATATAATTTTAAAAAGAAGCATAAACACAACAAGGGGTGAACGTTTCTTTAGTATAACCATGGAGTATAAAATTCAATATAAATTCTCTGTATTGCATTGGACTCTATGATCGGCGGAAGTGCATCCTTACACCTTCACCGGAAATACCGCCGTGCATAGAGCCCATTACCCAGTAATTGTAGTTACTAGAATAAGTACATAGTATTTACATGGGTAACCGGACTGTAAAAGTAAGCGTTACCAAACTTTGAATCATCATGTGCTTTCCTTTTTCACTGCCTGTATTATTATGGTGGTTATCACTATATTATAAATGTATAAAGCAGAATTTAAACATGTGAAATTGATAACGTTTATCGGCTATTCAAATTTAGGGTTGTCCCGTAAAAAATACCGTATTTTAATGGTAAATTACTGGGAACCACAGCTGATGTTTTTTCTACCACTGAAGTCCTTCTGATGTTTGTTTATTTATTTTTTGCCGTAAATTTAACTCCAAAGTAAGGTTGCTACCATTTTTTACGGTAAAATACTAGCATCCAAGCTGACGTTTTGTTATTGTAAATGAGTTTTTTATGCCCATAAATTGAAGTCCCATAAAATATAAAAGGTTGACACCATATTTTTTACGGTAAAATACTGGCAACCACAGCTGCCATTTTTTTTTTTTTTTTACAGTAAAAGTTTTTTTTTTTTTTTTTTACAGTGCTGAATAAATTCCTCATGTGACTTCCCGTCACTCAGAAGTAAAAAAAAAAAAAAAAAAAAAAACCTGAAATGAAAAAATTAAACGAGTGTTTCTCTTTATTCAGGTGGACGAATAAAATGGCCCAGCGTTTAAAGGTCATTTTTTATAATTGAAATCACACTAAGTTTAGTTTGATGTGTGAATGGTATCTTACCGGTAAAAAGACAGAACGCAGTTTCTTTAACAGCACAAGGGGGAAGGGTGGTGTTTGTCTGGAAGGGGCATTTGTCTCAACAGAGTATGTGATTTAATAAAGTGAACTGACTAGTTGACAATTTCATTGCAGCTTCTGAAATGTTGCTTTAGTCTGAAATGGCCGAGCCAAAGCATGTCAAACGGTTGGGTATATTCACCTCCCAGAACTGTCTCATACAACTGCGTTCCCAAACATCAGGCTTCCGCCTCTGAAGGCAAGATGCCGTAACATGACAGTGTTTATTGAATTTTGTCAGTGCACTCTGAGATGCAAGTAATTTATGATGTATGAAAAAAAAAAAAAAACAGTGGATTCCCCAATTGCAGTGACTTTCTTTTTATATTACAGATATTTTGCTCCAATTTCTCAGGAAGTTTTGTTCTCTTGAACAATACTAAATGCAATATTCCATTTTTTTTTTAAACTCACAACTTTGAAAGGAAACATAGCTAGTGTACGTTAATAGACACAAAGCCTGTAGTGAAATACTTCCCTGGAAATTACTACAGTCTATCTATCTGTGACCTCGATCAGTAAACTATTTATCATTTAGAACTTTAGATAACCCCTGAATAGATACTATCACACAAACATTCAAACATGAACTGAAATAGAAATGTTGACATTCAAAATTCATGTTCTCCTTTTCTGTTTCTCTACCCTGAATATAAAAAAATGTCTTAATTTTATAGTTCACCAAAACCCCTTGTTGTTTATCTTATCTACTTTTGTGTTTAACAGAAGAAAGAAACGCATACAGGTTTGTAAAAACTTGAGGGTGAGAAAGTTATGACAATTTTCAAACTATCCCTTTAAATGGTCAACAAGGTAGTGAAAGGACTTGCGATATGACTCATGATATGAACTAACAGTCAGATGTACTGTTTCGTTTTCAATAAACATTCAAGAAATCTTAGTTAAATATTCAACAATACGCCCGACTGGGTAACATTGTTGTATATAATGTTATATAATGTTGTTATAATGTTGTTCAATGCTGCAATTTAGCTTAAATAAAGTTGTTTTTTTATTATTATTATAGTAATTCATTTCTTTAAAAGAATTGTTTGATATTTTTATCTTTGGTAGCCATGTCGAATAGCTTCAAAAATGCTGTCAACACAACAAGTGTACACACTTATCAAACAGACATTATTTACTTGTCTTCACGTCATGCTAAGAGTCCAAATGAAAATGATATCAATTTAAATGTAATAGTTTATTTTCTTTTTTTAGAGGGAACACCATGCAGTAACAAGGTAAATATTATGTTTTGGTCATTAAAATAATTAAAATTTCTGTGAATTCGATTGGATACAACAGAAAAAGATCAGTGAGGTGAGGCTAAAATGTATCATTTTGTTTGATGTGTTTAAACCAGCTACATTTCATGCTGTGTTAATTGTTAGCTGTGGTAATTTTATCACTGGATTTTTGGCTTTTACGCAAACTCGGATGTTTTTAATTCATCACGTTGGCTATTTGTCAAAACTTAGTTAGACGCCTATTTAGACTGCATTGTTGGGCATCATAAGTACGCGTTAGAACACGTCTGTAGTGACCGCAACAAGGTAGACAGCAAACTAGGAATTGAGTTACAGCCAACATGAACGGTTAGAGATGCGGTCGTGAATTGAAATGAATTGAAATGTTTAGTACTCACTCTTGAGCGCGCAGATCAGCTGGTGTCCATCTTTAATCAGTTCTTTGATGAACTTGTTGGTTCGGTCCAGCTCGATCTCGTGACATTTAAGTCTCTCTCTAAAATCCGGACTGTCCACAAAAGAGTCACTGAACTCTAGAGTCGGCAACCCCATTATCAGACCTGAAATAAAGCCTCACAAAACACCTCAATATTTCCTCAGGCTCAGACACACTAACGGATCCGTGTCATCATAATCATCATCATCATCATCATCCTCAGACAAACCCGGGAAGAGTCGCTCACTCTTTTGAAGAGATTCATGCGAAAGTTTCTCTTCACTTCCGCGCTCTGAACTTTCATAAAGTCAAACTTCTGCAGTCAGTCAGCCTGAGATCATGAGACTCCTGCTGGTTACATTAGATAGCACCCAGAGACATGCCGTTTGGCTTTCAACACAATTAGTAAACAATCTATTTATCAATATTTTTTGTTAATGTGACATTCATTCATAAGTTATAAAAAATTATTTTGGTATTTCAACACAGAAAAATCACAAAAAAGCATCTATAGCCATGTACAGTGTAGCAACATTCAGTGATAAATACAGTGTGCACTAAATACTTTTACATTTTCACATAGCCTATTTAGATATAGACTAGCCTGTGTAGTAGGGGTGCAACGATATGTCAAGATTTGATACATATGCCAATTCTAAAATCATGATACAATATTATTGTGATACTCCAGGGCATGTGAGATTATTAAAAAAAAAAAATGTTGCTTAAAATGCTAAATTTTATATTACAGTGTGGGTATAAGCTACAGAATTATTTTAGACGAATATGCTTGCACTCTTTCACTGACTAGATATATTTAAAATAATGTTGGCCACTTTTTACTTCTAACTTAAGACATTTGGCATTAATATACTTTATATTTAACTTTTAGTACTGACACCAAAACGTGAATTTTTTTTTTTCTCACACAGAAATTTTCCTTTTGGGTGAATTATAATTATGTGTGTATACACAATATATAGTATATTGTCTCTATCCAATGATATATTGATGCATTTTTGAATTGTGAAAAATTGTGAAACAACATATTGTTACACCCATAATATTTAGAGTGTGCAGGATGAGAATGCGCCAAGGTGGGATAGGTGGTAGCCAAGGTGGTAGCCATATGGGAAATAATTAAATTGTACACACATTTGTTAGTTATCATCATAACACAAAAGGTGTTTATAACACATAAGTGCAAGGCGTCATAAATCCTTTAGCGTAATATGAGATTATCCTACCCTACCCCACACCTAAACCTACCCATCACAGTGCGTGTTATATTAACGATAACGGGTGCCATGTGCATAGTATTTGGCCGTTTTGTCATATAGCGTCACATATGACGCTAAAGGATGAGAATGCGTTGGAGGACCGCTGTTATAACATTGTCGTCTGAACACTAAAAATTAAAAAGGAAAAATGTTTCCATTTTTAGTACATCGTTGCTGTGTAAACATACCCTTAATCTCAAAAATGTTGATATTTAGATGAAATGACAAAATTAAAGACAGATAAAGGATTATGTATGAGGAACATTTCTCTTTCCCCGCCATTCACAGAAATTTCCTGATGTCTCTGTTGTCTCTATCACACATCTTCTGAAAGATTACTAAATCTCCTGATCAAAAGACATGTGAAGAAGAAGCAGAAGGGGACACACCATAGACATTACAATAGGGCCGTTTCTCAAAACCTAGAATGCAAAGAACATACTTGTGTTCTTGGGAAGAAAGCTCTTGCTAGTTGTTCTTGGAAGAACGAACTCACGAGGTGACGAGCACACAGAACGCTGCTGACAGTTTGAGACGATGTGTTCTTGCAGGTATTGCGCAATAGTAACGTTACCCCCGCACAGACGCCGTCTGCGGTGCCCAAACAACGAGAATTATTGACGATAACAGCCAGGCTTTATCGCCCAAGCCTAAGGGATTACTCTACATACTTACACAATGTAATGTATATTCATAACAATAAAGCCACACCTGTCTCATTATTAAATAATTCTGCTTCTGTTGTTTGTTTGTGTACATCACTAGCCAACGCGGGAAAAAACGCCGGTAATATTCAGGTAACTTAAAATTGACCTTCCTCTCTCTGCTTCCCGCTCCTTCCACGAATACCGAAATGAATTATGGGATATTTCTGCCGTCAAGTTCACACAAGTTACCAACCGATGCATCCTCGGTAAAATGGGAGTGTCAAGAACACATCCGGGATTTTTAACCGTTCTTGCCTAAATGCAAACTTGTGTAATGGGACAGTACTTGGGCCGCGACTGATGACGTTTTACAAGTCCACAAGAACACAAGTACAGACAAGAAGGCATATTGAGAAACGGCCTAGATGCCCTATTGGCTGCTGTGCACCGAGAAATCCGGTCGCCATCTTGAACCGGTCGTATTCCTATTGTGTTGCATAGCAGCAGTAGATGCCAGAGCACTGTGCAGCATATTCCTGATCAAATCAGCAGACTATCGCTCAGGAATTACTTTTCACGAGTAAGATTTAAGATTTAACATTACCGTGCTATTGGTTGTGTATTGTGAATAAAATATCCCATGTGTTCTGTATCATAGCTACATCTACAGTATGACCTTCGCAGCAAAACTACCAAGGTGAAAATTAGGTATTCAGTGAGATATAATTAATTAAATGTGCTGACAGCTCATATCACCTGCCATACAGATTACAGTGGAGCAGATAACCGGTTTAAGATGGCGGGCCCATGGCTCGTCCGTGCCAATAGGCAGTAGCGGTTGGTTGGTTATCATTCCGAATCTCATCTGGATGTAGTGTTTGACAAAATATTTTTTCTCAAAAAATGTTGCTTTTTAATGGAAGAAACTTACCCTCATTTATGCGTTGATCAAAAATGAAATGCTAGAATAAAAGGGATTTTTTTTGTTTGTTTTTTTTTTTAAAGCAGAGGCTCTGTTCTTTCTTTTGATATAGGTCTATTGTATGTTCAGAAAGTCATAAAACAAAAATATTCTGGAGGCCATAATAAGTTTGTGAAAATGATGAAAAATGCGGGTGGCGGCCAAAAAAAAAAAAAAAAAAGTTAAAGGACAACTCCGGTGCAAAATGAACCTTTGGTCTAATTACACATTGGTACCTAGTCGACCGTTCTCTGGGATTTGTTTTCATGATAATCGAATGTAAAGACTTTTATCTCTAAAAACGGTTTAGCGTATAACGCTAGTATGTTGGGCATAGAGTAATGAAAAATAAAAATCGCTAGTTAATACCGCTAACAAGCCTCAAAGAGCCCTGCACTAGCATGGTAACATAATGAGGTTGCCTACCAAAGCATTGAGAACTTTGTAAGCGTACAGACAGTTTAATAAGTCATTTTATAAAGACAGTACACTTTGTGTATACAGGCAGGAGCCAACTTTGGAAAACAGTCTTGACAAGTCGAACCAAGAAAGTATCTTCATATTAAACTGTCTGTACAATTACAAAGTTCTCAATGCTTCAGTTTGCATGTGGGGACCATCATTATGTTACCGTGTTAGTGTGGGGCTATTTTGAGCCTTGTTAGTGGTATTAACTAGCGATTTTTATTTTTTAATTACTCTTTGCCCTATATACTAGCGTTATACTAAACCGTTTTTAGAGATAAAACTCTTTACATTCGATTATCATGAAGACAACTCTCAGAGAACGGTCGACTAGGTACCAATGTGTTATTAGACGAAAGGTTCATTTTGCGCCAGAGTTGTCCTTTAATTGCATAGTTAAAAAAACACTGGTCGACTCATTTAATCTTCAGAGAGAGACAGAGAAACAGATCAGAAAGATGGCTTTGACAATAGTACAGCCTGAAGGGCCATACACCAGTGTACATCTACTGTATCTGTGTGTGTGTGACATCAGCAAAACTGCTGGATGTCTGATGACCTGGAGCGTTTCTCAAGGTCTGATGGAACAGGCCAGACATGTGTGGCAACAATAAACCAAACCCTTAAACAACTTCCACACCACCTTTAACCCAGATGTAAAACAAACCCAAATTCACATAAATATAATCCAAGGAAATAAAACAACCGAAACTATAAAGTACCAGAAATCACATTTAGGCCTATATATCAGTCGATAAATATTGTCGTGTCATATGGGCAGGTTTCATTCTTTTATTCCCCTTTTCTATTCCAAACAGGCAACTGTAATTATACTCTCTGATAGATCCTGCCAGAACTAATGAGAGTGGGGAGAGAGTGAATTCTGAATTAATACCTTACTAAATGAAAGTAATTAGACTTCAGCCTAATTGGAGCCGGTAGAATCGGCCACAAATACAGGGCACGCTGGAACGATAATGATGTCAAATTCCAAATGAGCATTCGTTCGACGCAAAGCAGGAGGAAAAATATAAAACACTTCAGCCATCTCATTTGCAAACGCCATGCTACATTTTCCATTACCCCAAAACTCAAAGACACATCAGCAAACAAAACAATTGTGCAACATAATAGACAGCCCATAAAGTGGAGTTTACCCTGACAACCATTTTGTAGCGAGACAAAAGGTCATCTATTTTCAATTAGATTTGGTGATTTAAGTTGACAAGACTATAGCGCAACAGTGACCACCTGCTTTTTCAGTGACGTTTTACTGTTTTTTTTTTTTTGCTTTTTCAATAAGAGTTCCAAGCCATTAATCAAAATATTACCAACTGTGTTTTCAAGCAAATGTACATTTCGTATCGGTACCGCTTCACGATCTTAGACTCATGAGAAGTCTGTCTTGATAATGTTTCATATTGCATCACAATTCTTCTAAAGAGAAAATAAATGGGATTTTTACTCCTGCAATGTTGCATTTCATACTCAAAACTCAAATCACAGAGCAAAACACTTGGTGTGCAGGCTGTGAATTCCCACAGATGTAATTTTTTCTGAAATTCAGGTCTCAACCAATTCAATTTGATTCTGCAAATGTCAGTTCTGGTGACAAGCAGAATTGTAGCTATTTCACAGTCTTGTTGATGAACCAGAGACCTCCTCACAGCCTGAGCCTCGGAAATGCTCCTATGATGGGATAATGACTGAGAGATTGCTCGGTGAATGTGAGGCTTAATGTAATTGTGTTGCCTAGAGGAGAATTCAGTGGGGGAAAAAAAAAAGTTCTTTAAAAAAATTATTTAACCGCAATCGTACAATAGCAGGCTGCGTGAGGCTAGGCTAATTGCAGTGTAGCACGGCCGCCCGTGGTGTCTTCCAAAGCAGTTTTCTTTAATTGGGATGATACCAAGCGAGAAAACAGCTACTGTATACAGACAAATACACACACTCAGTCA